GGCCAAGCCAAAGTCCAGACCTAAGTCCACTCGAAAATCTGTGGAAAGACTTGAAAACTGCCGTGCATCGAAGACATCCTTCCAACTTATAAGAACTGGAGAATATCAGCAAGCAGGAATAGACAGAAATATCTCCAACCTACTGTGCAAAGCTTGTGGAGGGTTATCCAAAACGATTTTCAATTGTCATTTCTGCCAAAGGAGCTTCAACCAAATATTAACTGCATAATCATGCTAGGTGGGGAAGACTTTTGCAACATGTGTTTTCAAGATTTTTTTGTGTTATATCACTAAAGTGAGTAACAATGCAACTTTCGTTCTTTGTAATCATAAGAAACTGGTCTGAGATTAATATAATAAGTATTTTTGGCACAAGGGGGAGAATAATTTTGCAAATCACTGTATATGTCTCTATTTCTGTGCATCTGTCTATATTTGTTTCAGTGAAAAGTAGCGATATCTATGTGGTTATGTGTGCATCTATGTATCTATGTTTGATTTGATTATTCTGACACAATATGTATGCGTCTCTGTTTCTGTGCATTTTTATTTACAACAAAACAAAATAATTTACCAATCTCAGTGCTTTCTGTCTATTACATTTACCTTTTACGTTATACAAAACTTACTTATTGTACAGTGTTATATCTTTATTACAGTTACCTCTTACGTACAATATGTTTTGTTTTTAACAAATTCAAGAGTGAACTTAATATATAATATTATAAGGTGAGTATATTGATTTGGGTATTATAAAGTCAAATGTAAGAGTGATATCGAGGTACTACTCTATAAGGTGGATATATTAGTTTGTATATTATAAAGTCAAATGCAAGGGTAATATCGGGGTACTACTCTATAAGGTGGATATATTAGTTTGTATATTTTAAAGTCAAATGTAAGGGTAATATCGGGGTACTACTCTATAAGGTGGTTATATTAGTTTGTATATAAAAAGTCAAATGCAAGGGTAATATCGAGGAACTACTCTATAAGGTGGATATATTAGTTTGTATATTATAACGTCAAATGCAAGGGTAATATCGGGGTACTACTCTATAAGGTGGATATATTAGTTTGTATATTTTAAAGTCAAATGCAAGGGTAATATCGAGGAACTACTCTATAAGTGGATATATTAGTTTGTATATTATAACGTCAAATGCAAGGGTAATATCGGGGTACTACTCTATAAGGTGGATATATTAGTTTGTATATTATAAAGTCAAATGCAATGGTAATAACGAGGTACTACTCTATAAGGTAGATATATTAGTTTGTATATTATAAAGTCAAATGCAATGGTAATAACGAGATATTACTCTATAAGGCGGGTATATTAGTTTGTCTTTTATAAAGTAAAATTTAAGTGTAATATAGAGATACCACGCCATAAGGTAAGTATATAAATTTGTCTATTATAACATAAAGATATCACTCTATAAGGTGGTTATATTGATTTGTCTGTTAAAAATTAAAAGGTAACTCTAATACACATAAAATACTTTTTAAAATTACTTTATTACAAAAAATTAAAAAATCCCAAAGAATAATTGTATTTACAGGTAACACTTGATAAAATTGGTATAGTACTTTTTTGTCTTAATAAGAAAAGGGCAACTGTAATGTAAAAATAACTATAACACTGACACATTGTAGTTGTTTTTCAAAGAAAAAGATAGGTGTAATAGACTGATGACCCACTATAACATTAGTACATGTTTTCATTGTTTTACCAAATAACAGTTAACTGTAATGTACAGATAACATTCTGTAAGATGGTATTTTGTTTTATTTATTTTTAATCTAAAGCATAAGTGTAATATACAGATAACGCTTTATAAGATGGGCACATTGTCTTCTATTTTTAACGTGAAATATAACTGCAATTTACAGGTTACATTCTCAAATATGAGGATATTACTTGTTCTTTTTGAGTATTTAAAATTTAAATGTAATATATAGAAAACCCTATAAAGATACATTATTTATCTTTTTATAAAACTAAATGTAACTGCCATTTATATATATCACTCTACATGATTGATACGTTGTTTTATTGTTTTATGTACTAGTTTTAACCATAATATTTAGATATCGTTCTACGTTATTTGTATATTGTTTTTTGTTATATTTACTAAATGATAACTGTAAAATGAAACTAACATTTTATAAGATGAATAATTTGTTTGTTCTTTTATAAAGTAAATTTTAGATTTGATATAAATCTCTGTAAGATATGTGCAATTTTGTGTAAAGTAAATGGTAATTATATAAAGTGGGTAACTTGACTGAATTGTGTTATATCTATATTACAGTTGCTTTTGTTTTATAAAAACATGTACCCAACTTAGAGAGCCTTATACTTAAATAACATTTAAAGTTTACTTTATAACAGAACAAAAATGTATCTATCTTATAAAATGTCTTGTGTAAATTACATTTAACTTTTATGTTATTAAAAAAAATGTACCCGTTTGATAGATTATTATTAAAAGTTACGTTATTACAATAATATGCTCTAACATCTGATAGAGTAGTTGGTATCTCTATATTAAATTTGCACTTTACTTGATAAAACAAAGCAGAAACAGTGTACTCATCTTTTGAAGTATTATATGTATCTTACAGTTATATTTTACTTTATAAAAAATAGAATGTACCCATATTATAGAGCGTAATCTGTACATTATGGTTACATCTAGAATGTAAACAATGAACTAACGTACAATCATGTAGAATGATATCTATATATTACGATTACTGTTAATTTATAAAACAACTTACCAGTCATCTATAGTGATATCTGTATGTTACGGTTATACTTAGAATATAAAACAACAAAACAAAGTACCAATCGTATAGCGTTGTCTGTATTATACGGTTACTTTTTGCTCTATAAAATATATCCCCGTATTTAACAATATTTTATGTATATCATATTTATCTTTTAAGTTACGAAAACATAACAATCAACTTACCTATTCTTATCGAGTTATCTGTACATTATAATTCCATTTTGCTTTAATAAAAGCCAAAAACGAATGTACCCGTTTTGTAAAGAGTTATTACCTTTTACGTTATCTAAAAAACACAACAAAAAACAATTCACCCATCTCTCCTAGAGTGGTATTAATATATTACAAACAGACAAAATTTTCTCAGGTTAGGTTTGTAGTTCCGGTCATTACCTGCAGCTTATTATTTTCTGAGATTGTTCTGCTCCATAAGACAACAGCTGATACAATAACAACTTAACCCCATTCATTATTATATTTGTTTTTGACTTTCCTCATCTTCTGCTGACAATGGGAAAAGTAAAAAAAATGGCATATATCTTGTAAGAAATAACTTCATGGCAAATATGTATACACATGAGAGTATTTCTATATACTGTAATATTATCCAAATGAGTATACACATGAGAGTATTTCTATATATATTGTAATATTATC